TTGTTAACTAATTTAAAATACTACAACTTCATTTCTTATAATAGTGATTCGAGTATTCGACTGTTTGCTCATTCGACTGGTTGCCCATCATTTGGATGTTGAAAAATTCGACTGGTATCTTATAGTATGCCATTGAGAAAACGCTTTCAAGAACAAACACTTAAAATTCATTTGCTCAGGAATAGTAAGAATTCTTTTTAATTTCTTCATAGTAACAAATATTCATTCAGAACTCAACTTTCTGCTATTTTTTAAAATCTCTGAATAGTTATCAACAAAATAAAATTGGATAATTCATTTGTTCTCTATATATACTCACTAGTCACTACTTTAAATCTACCAAAAGCAAATGAATTTTAAGTGTTTGTCCTTAAACCTCTCGTAAACAACACCACCCCAAAAACAAAACAAAAAACCGATTCAAGAACTAAAGAAAGTTCAGTATTTTCTATAACCAAGTGAGCTCTAGCTATAGCAATACATGAGGAAGAACATATGTTCTAGAGCTTCAAAGGAAATTATGACACATAAAAGTGGTACTAGAAAATCAGAGGTAAGAAGAGTAAATCACAGACAATACTCTAGTTTAGCTAGCCTGAAATTTCACTTCCAAACAGAAAAGTGAAGTGACTCAAATTACACAACCACAAAAAATGTGATATTCAAAATATCATATTCTCTTCCTCTTCAAAGAGGCTACAGACTAGTAAGCCCACTTGAATCTGGTTCTTCCTCTTCTTCAAGTAAAGTTGGACATGAAACTTTGTCGACACTTGAAGTCAAACCTGAAAAAAAGTATAAAATGTTAAAATTGAAAACTATTAATACCATAATAAGTCATTAAGGAAAATACTTACCATTTATTTCATTTCACAACCATGTACGAGCACACATCAAAGCCTCCAAAGTAGTAGGATGAAGTCTACTACGATGCGGACTAATCAACCTCCCACTAGTGCTAAATGCTAATTTTGAAGTGACAGTAGAGACAGGAATGGCTAAGAGGTCACGAGCCATCTTTTGCAAAGTAGAAAATTTTAATTCGTTTATTTTCCACCAACTTAAACTGTCAAATGATGGTGTACGAGGTAGCAAACTTTCTTCTAAATACACATCCAATTCCGATCTTGTGTCCACATTCGCCCTACTCGACGCGACAAATTGATCAAAACTAGAGAGCCGATCACCATCAACAATACCAACAACTTCATTAGATGCTTGAGATGACTCATGTGAAGTAAGTGCTCTACTCTGATACTCTTTTTGAACTTCTTGAATTTTATCCAAAGAAGCTTTTTCACGATAAATTTGTGCAAGATAGAATTTCACCACCTTCATCTTATACCTCGGATCAAAAATAGTAGCTACACCCAACAATATATGTACATCGTCTCAATATTTTTTGAATTTCAACAACATTGACGTTGTCATAGAGCTAATCAAAGGATTTAAACTTTTTACCCAAGCTTTTAATTCTAGCTTAATGTCACAAACTTTTGAAAAGTATTGAGTTTAAGTTGGATATTGACTCCCCGAAAATTATTCGGTGACATGGTAAAAGAGCTTCAACTTTACACAAACTTTTTCTGCTTCACTCCATTGCCCTTCGATTGGAAAATAACGGTAATTGGTATCATTCATGCTCTAACTTCGAAAACACCTCTTTGTAATCTAAGGATGTTCTCAACATTAAATATGTTGATTTCCAACGAGTAGGGCAATCATACTCTAACTTTTTTGTGCAAGAAATATGTAGCAACCGTGCAGCTTCTTCAAACCTTACAATTCTGCCTGAAGACCCTATCCAATATAAGACATTGTTACGCACGTTACTGATACCATCTTCTATCACCTTTAACCCTTCTTGAACAATTAAATTTAAGATGTATGCGGCACAACGCACATGCAATACTCGACCCATCAACAACAAATCTCTTTTACAAAGTTTCTCATCTAACAAGGTTTTCATCAGAGCATTGTTTGTGCTAGAATTATCAACAGTAATTGTTGATATTCTTCTCTCAAGATTCCACTCTAACAAGCAATTGAGCAACGCACCACATAGAGTATCCTTATCATGTGGAGCGGGAACATAAATAAATCTCACGATATGACTCTGAAGCCTCCATGAATCATCAATAAAATGTGTCGTAATAGCCATAAACCCTTTTTTGGTATTGTCTGAGGTATACATATCAGTTGTTATTGCAATTTTACTTGTGATTTTTTCCAACAACTTAGAAGTTTTTGATTTCAGATTGTCAAAAATCTTTAAAATATCATTCTTGATTATGTTCCTAGATACCATTTTAAACAATGGCCGGAGACTAGCAACAAACTTCCTAAATCCAACATGATCGACAATGGACAAAGGGTACTCATGTAAAATGATGGCATGAGCAAGTTCCCTACGTGAAATATCTTGATCAAAATAATATTGTTTGATACCATCGTCCCNTGATCAAAATAATGTTGTTTGCTACCATCGTTCCCCCTAAACCACCCTTATCTTCTAAGTTACTTGGCTTCTTACGACATCTACGAATATGATCCCACAAAGATGATGTCCCACATTTTCTTGTTGATTTGATACAAGTATTGCAATACTTACAAACACCAAAGCGAACACCATCAAGCTTCATCGCTTTGAAATGTTTCCATGCTTCAGAAATAAGTTTTCTTTTACCTGCTTCATCAATAACTTCCATGGTAACTTCATCAGACTGCATAAGCCTTTGACTCTCAGTCTCAATAGGAAAAGCATTTGAAGATGAACACATTGGATTTTGTTTGTCTTGAGACTCTATAATTTTCTATAAAAAATCAATAAAAGAAATATTAAGTAGAGATACGGGACTTAAATTACTAGTACTAATAAAAAATGTGACCCCATCATATTCTGCAGAATTAATACCTAAAAGAAGAATCAGTTACAACAATGAACAATCCGATGCTTAAATAGCTTAAATTTTAGTATTTCACCATAAAAACTAAAATCTTTGGACTAACTGAAAATAAATATTAGTATAATCTGCCTCTTAGAAGTAGCATCCTGCGCCTGCAGCAATATTGGAGACTCCTAATTATTTCTCTTCAACTATTCTCCCTGCTCCCTAATTTCATTGTTCATGCACATTTTGTAGATTGAAAAACAAAGGAATCCAACGAGCTTATGTAGCCAACACACAAATTTGCCGAAAGTTTATAGAAAATATAGGAACTTTTTGTTTTTGAGAAAGAAAAAAAAGATGGACACTTGCAGGTTGCAATTGTGGTAGTTGTAAAATCAAGAAAAGCAAACCTTATTCAAACAAGAAACAACAAATTATGGTATATGATTTCAAACATAAATCATAGACCATTTGTCGGCAAACCAAAAAGGAGATAACAAAAGTAATCTTGATGGAGAGCCAAAGCAAAATTCAATAATATGAATATTGAATTCGAACTGGGTCATTAGAGTTTGAATAGAGAAAACTTACCAGAGAATGAGATTGTGAGAGACAGAGAGAGTGGAGAAAGCTTTGAGATTGTGCGTGACTTTGTGGAGTAATCCTCTGAGAAATTAGGGCGTTTGTGATTGTGAATTGGGTTTAGACTTTTAGGTCTTAGTTTTGAGGAGAGAGTAGCGTTTTAGGTTTACTTCAAATAATTAAATCCTGACCCGCGACCCGCCCCGCAGTAGTTTTTTTTTAAATTTAAAAAGAACCCGCCCCGCCCCC